TTGTTTGCAAATTTATAGAATGAGAAACGAGGTTTACCCAACCGTATAAGATATGGGGCAACGCATTACTCATTTGCTCGGAAGCCCGCAATTTTCATCTTGTCTCATTTAGCCTGAATAAGCTCATAGAAAATGCAGGTTTCGAGTGATTTTTGCTGCATGTTTTACCCAACTTTTCCTTTTGTGTACAAATGCAAATTTTCCTCACTTTGTAGGGCCGAAAATTGAAATGGTTTTACTCCAATAAGCCAGTGTTTGTTTGCGTTGCAATAATTGGCCTTTATGATTACGAGTTAAGCTGCCCTGAAAGTGAGTCTAGACAGAGTTCCTTTCAAAGTTTTCCCTCAAGGTCCACCCATTAAATCTTCCAATCTTCCGACTTATTATATTTCCGGCGGAAGAATTTTATGATAGCGCCACAGTTGTTCATAATCTAACCGGTTATGACTCTCATTTGGCGTATTTTAGTAATTCGAGAGCTTTAATGAAAATTCTTGCGTAACTTCGCAACTAACGATTAATTGACGCTCTTTCTAAAATTATCTCACAGTTCGTTGCTCTTGGCGAACAATAATCGTCAATTGAGCAAGCCCTTCTTGACATAGGGCCAAGGGTAACAGCCCAACAGAAGGTCGATGTTTCATGCGAAAACAGCATAATTACTGAGGCATTAAGTTGCTACATAGACACGGGAATTGAGCTGTATTTGAACAAAATATCGCTTGTGGGTAATTAATCTTYAGTGCTACAATGATGCTAAAAGCGGGGGATTCCATCAAATAACTACTTTGCGGAACATAATTAATTGAGCTGCTGCTGCTGCGAAAACAGCCAGATCAAGCGTTCGCCTTGAATTCGCCACTTTATGTAAGTCACATAATTCATACAGCAACTTCCAGAAGTTTTCCGAAGTGCATTTTCACGGAAATTTCTCCCCGACACTTAGTTGGCACTAGTTTAAGCGCAACGTTTTCCCAATTGGCCGCTCGACGCGAAAAACATGCCCTTCACCTAAATATGCCCATGGAAAAGCAAATTAGAACGTTAAATCACTCACCCAGCATTTTGATGACTTTTCTGGACGATTTACTGTGCACCCGATTGCTGCGGCTTCGGGTTCTCATCATGTTCGAAGTGCTCAAGGTGGTACCGATTAAAATGTACAAAACGGTGATCAAAGTCATCGGTGCTACGAAGAAAACAAACGTAGAGATCTCGAAGGAGTGGTTCATTACAGGCTCAGTGGGGAGGCACATCGGACAGTCTCCAGCCACTTTGAGGGGGAGGGCTTGGGGAATAGCAAAACTAATTGCCACCTAAAAAAATTTAGACTCAGCCACGCAATTATTTCGCATGTTTTGTACTAAGGAAAATTGTGTAAACTTGTACGTTTGGTTGTTGCCAATAAACGGATCAATGTGGATAAATCCGATTATGTCTTGAAAGCCCACAGGCTTTTCACTAAGGCAAACAGAGCCTCTGATATAGAACAAACAGAAATATCACCTTGATTTGTTTACGGGATTTAATTCCATTTTGCTGATGGGAATTCGTAATTTAACAGCTCACTTTATATGGACATTTAATCTA